GGGGGGTGGAGGGAGTGTTTGAGCGGGTGAATTAAAGCCTTTCAATTCGTTTGGGGAAGGAAGGACCGAGAGCAGGGTTAGTTGAAACCGTTTCCAAGAGGCATGAACAAAATGATGTTGCTTCCATCCAGAGGGAAATTAGGGGGAATGTAGGGGGAATGAAGTCCGGGGCGCTCCTCAAGGGGTTACTCCGACCGCAGGGCTGCTACACCAAATCGCCCATCGGGAGCAGTGGGCCTTCCCCCAATCCTGAGAAATGTTTCGAGGGCCCGTGCATGGACAGGAGTCCCCCCTGGTGCCATACACTACAAGGGCATTGCTTCTCTAAGGTAGGGAGGAGAGAGATACACAACCACGGTCCACAACGAGCCCTCAAGCATTGACCCACTTGCACGGAGGGGGAGAAGAACTCCAGGAGACGCTACAGCCGATTGCCTCTAATTTGGGCACTCGGAGGGCGTCAATATTTTATGGAGGTGGGAGGACAGGAATGTTGAAATTCATTATATGTCTCGGAGAGAGAGAGCTGTTAAAACACGAACCTCTTGCATTTAAGACGTGAAAAAAAGCGGGGAGGAGGGAAGGGGGGGGGGATGTCCCGACCTCCGCCGCTTGCCGGGACACCGGCTGCCGGCCCCTGTGGATTCGCAGCTGGCCTGTCCTCCTGGCTCCCGGCAAGCCGGCCGGGTGTGCTCCCAGCGCCCGCCGGCCAGCCTTCCCCTACTCCTCCGATTCTTCCTCCGGTTCCCCGTTAAAAGTCCCCAGAGTCACCCCCGGTAGCCCGCGTCCTGCCGGGTCGGGGGCTCAGGGCGGATCCGGGTCCCGGTTGCTGCCTCCCACCCCGGCGGGCGGGACACTGCGACGGGTCTTGCCTTGTCCCCCCATTCCCACCCCGTCCCCGCGTCTGGGACAAGGGGACACCTCAGCCACCCAGCTTCGGGAAACTCCTTTCAGGCCGCGAGATCCGAACGGGGGAGGAGGGACCGGCTCCAGGGATCACTTCGGCCGCCGGCCCCGGCCCCGCTCCCGCCGGCCCCCGCTTACCTGGACGACGGTCCCCGTGCTCGTCGACGGGCTCTCAGCAGGACGGGGGTGAGAGGGGACGCCTCAGACCCCCGGGTGCACCAGGGCCCGGTCATGGCCCCCCGCGCACCCCAGAGAGGTCCGGCGCGAGGAAGAGAGAAGGAGGAGGGAGGAAAAGCCTTTTTTCCCCCTTTCTCTCCCCGATGGAGCAGAAGTGACCCGCAGTATCTGGAGAAGGTTTTTGAAGACGTTTGAGAGGGAGGGAGAGAGTTTTCTGCTGAGAAACTCAATCTGCCATACAGTAGCGACGGCATCTGGGATCTGTCACCGCTGACAGCACCACAGGGCACAGACATGATCTTCCGCACAACACTGCAACTCCCCAAAATACCCTCCTCGCTCCCAAGGTATCTGCCGGGTTGCATCGCTCTCCTCTGCCAAAAGGGGGAAAGCAACCTGAGCCCCCGCAAACCAATACACCGAGGGGAAGGCAAGAGAGAGCAGCCCGATCTCCCCCTTCCGCTTCGCGATGCTGAACGCTCTGCCGCCGAGGACGCAAGGCGAGAGACGATGTCATGCTCCGAGGGCGCAAAGGCCATAAATGTAGGCTCTCGCGACGCTAGATTCCAGGGAATGACTTTAATGAATAATTTCGGAGACAGTTATGGCTTTAGGTAATTACTGCGCGGCTCTATGAAAACCAGATTTGGGAGAGAGGCAGTCAAGGCCGAGCCGTGTGCTTCGGCTCGCCCCTGCCAGACCGCTCCAGACGCCACCTCCCCCCATCACCGCCCGACCCCCGGGCGTCCCCGGCCTCCTGCACCCCTCCAGCTGCCGGGGTCCTCCTTCGGGCAACGCTGCCAGCAACTCTGCGAAGGCTAGAGGCTTCTGGGGGGAACACCTAATATTATTATTATTTATTTTTTAATCTCTTCCGCCTCCTGTATTTTCTGGCAGGACATTTCATTGTCTTTTAGGCCAGTTTTAGAAAACTTCTCTGGGTTTGCACGTGTATTTATCTTTTTTAAGAATTTCATTATAAGCAGCTGTTGCAGCCTATAGCCACATACGGCATGCAAATAGAGACCCCTATAGGAGAGTCGGCCTCTCTATTACCCCCACATGTTCGCTCAACAGACGAGACAGGGGAAACCATTCTACCGCTCTGCATTAAAACTGAATTGTACATTTTTCTACCGAGCCTTTTGGGCAACGCAGGGTCTTGTTTCTGCTTTGAACAGCCTCCCCGGTTAGCAATTGCAGGGCTCCGAGAAGCGGGCCCGCTGATCTCCATTGTTTCACTAACACGTTACTGCTGTTCCCAGGAGGCCGCTCCGGGCGGAGCCGCCTCTCGCCCCCCGCCCGCAGAGCCCTGCGCCTCGCCCCGGCGGGACACGGCAGCTCTCGGCTGGACCCCACGGCATCTCCCGCCGGGGAGACGGCTCCTGCCTCAGGACACGGGACTCACTCCCCGGGGAGAGGTGCCGAGACGACAGCCTCAGCCCTGCCACAGAGCCGCCACCAGTCAGAGGTCTCTCATAAAGGGAGAAATAGGATTTTGCTGGGTTGTTTCTGTTTGGTTGGGAGTCTTTTTTTTCTTTCTTTTTTTTTTTTTAATTTTTGTTATGGCTTATTTCGCAGCTTCCCCCCTCCCCCCTCTTGTACTTCAACAGCTTTTCAAAAATTCACTTACTCCCGCCCGACTCCCTGGGTCGGTGGCTGTGGTGGGAAGCCGAGCTTACAGCATACCGTTTGCACTGATTCAGAAAGGAAATGTTCCTTTTCCTTTCGAGATTACGGATAGACACAGAGGAGCGTTGCGGTATCCTAGGGGGTTTATTTTATTTTATTCTGCTGGAACAAAGAAATTGAAGTATTTTTAAATTTGTTTTTAGGGTCACATGGGGCTTTGTTTTTCTTTTCTCACTCCTCCTGGCAAGAGTATTTTACCGCGAGAATTTAATCCTTCAGATAAATTGTCTAACATTATCTTTTTCCTCTGGAGACGAGATCAACTGCTTTCTTATCCACCCCCCCGCCCCTCCTTCCTGCTAGTAGCACTGATTGTAATGTACAGCTGGACAAGTGTCAGCCGTCCAAGACTGCAAACAGTCTGTGGAGGCTTAAGTTGTATTTATTCAATTATTTTTTTTTCTCCTTGGGGGAAAAATAGAGTGATACGAAACATGAAAAAAAAAATCATAAAGTAAAAAGTTTGTCAAAATAAGCGCATCAAACGTGGTTTGGGGTCCCACTGAGCCAAGGCTGGCTGTTCGGCGTGACCGTCAGCCAGCTCCAGCTCTCAATTAGAGGCGATTCATTAGGATTTAATAGCAGGTGCAAAGCCATCTCCTTGCCAGCAGCACTGCCGTTTGGGTAGGGAATCGTCTTGTTTCACAGCAGCCTCCAACTCTCCCGGCTCGTTCTAAACCTGACTGCCACTTTGGATAACGGGGTGTCGGCGCGCTGCGACTGCCCGCACGTAAGCGTTGCACTTTGTTTGGCTAATTTCTCCCTGCCAAGACACAAGGTGGAAATCTGCCTGGCTCGATATTTATTTTGGAAGACAGCGCTGTGAGCGGATGCGCTGGGAGAAATCGGGCTGAGATAAAGCAAGCGCTGGGCCGGGGGCTGGGGGGAGCGGGGGGGATGGGGGAGTAACCCGCCCGCGGAATGCGCCGCTTCTGCTTTCTCGAAGTCCCAAACAGACAAACAAACAAACAACCGCGGCAGCAAACTCAGAAGAGTCGGAGCCCTTCGGGGTTCAAAACCGGGCTGTACCGAGAGCCTCGGGGCTGGAGTGCCGCGTCCCACTGCACCCGCATCCCAGCTGGCGGCCGCGGCCGGGCCGGGACTTGGAAAGCGTCGCCGTGATTACACCCAAGTGGAGAGCAGGATGGCTCCGAGCCGTCTGATCTGACGTCAACATGTCTCTAGCTCCTCGCTGCAAGATAGAGGGAGCAGAGCCGGGGGAGGGACGGCTCTAATCATTCCCAGATGTCTCTAATAGCAGATATAAAGACTTATATAGTGTCTGAGAATAAATTTGTAATCAATGCTCTAAAATCGCATCATCAAAGCAATGGTATTTCTCGAGGAAAACGAGGTTGGGGGGAGGGAAAACTGAGGAAGAGGGAGACACACCACGCTGGTTTGGAAGGAGGGAGGCAGAGGGAACCTCAAAAATCCTCTGGCTTCGCGCATCACTCGGCTTTGTTAAAATTTATGTGAATATATAATTCAGATAACAACTCTGCTTTACTCTCCATTGTATGTGACAAGCTGAACATAATTGGCCAATTAGAAATAGAAAAGATCGGAGCCGGTTTGCAAAGGCGTATGTTTCATGGACGGCAGAAAAAAATTCCCAAATTAAAAATACATAAAACATTGATAAGCCCTTCGTTACAGCAGAGGGGATTATGTCTGGAGGCGTGCAAAATGCGTTTCCTTCCCATCGCTACTTGGAGATTTCTTCTGGGGGTATTTGTGAGTCGCTGGGCGAGTACGTGTGAAAAAGGAGGATTAAGGTTAGGTTTCCAAGTGCAAAAGGAAGATTATTTTCCTTAGAGGTTTCACTATTAACCTTTTCTCCCCACCTCCCTGCCCACCTTTCAAGTTCATGCTGTCTCCATGGCATCCCCTAGTCCTGTTTATATCCCGCGTATGGCCCAGCGCTCCTTCTGGGGGTGTCTTTGGCTTGGCCGAGAGGCCCCAGTAGACCTCTTTGACAACGATATCAAACGAGAAATAATTATTGCAATAATCTTTTGAGGCAAAGAAGAGCTCCTGGGAACCACGGGGGAGAGGGGAGTACATGTGGAAAAAAAATCCCCAGACCACAACACTAAGCAAAACGAAGGAAAAAAAGCCTCGCCACATTTTTTTCTCTTTTGCTTGCCGGAGTGCAGGCATGGCATACACATCCGACAGCAACGAGGTCCCGCATGTTGCAGAGTCCCCCAAAACTCGGTACTGCCAGCGCCTGATAGGCTCGCTGCCAGCAGCGGAGCACAGAGCAGGCCCCTGGCTGCGTCCCCGCTTTCCAAAATCCGGACGAGCTCTAAAAATCCACACTGCTGCTTTCCCCGGGGCCCCCAGGGGACACGCAGCCGCTGGGGAGGTCCTCGCCTCCCTGCGAGGGGGCGAGCGCGCTGTTTCGGGGGCCGCAGCCGGGCCCGCACCCCGGGGAACGAGGGCCCGCTCCCTGGGAGGGAAGGGGAGGAGGAACGTCACCCGGGGGAGTTCTGTCGCTCTTCCTTTTCAAGGGTAAAAAAAAAAAAGAAAATGCTATGTTCTCTTGAAAGAGAGCAGAGGGCCTCACTCCCTTAGCCATGAAACGAGGCTACAAGCCTAAAACACGGATCCGTGAGTCAACCTGGGGGCGCAGGGCTTCAGCGACCCGGCTGCTCTCCACCCTGCCCTCCCTTCTCTCTTCCTCCCTGCACTCACAGAGAAAAGTTGCAGGGTGGGAAAGGCTGCTATCCCTCCTCTTACGTGCCTTTAACCTCGGTAAAATCTCCCAAAAATGTTTTGGCCCCGAGGAATTACCGGACAGATGGGCGGGATGCCGATGCCCCCGGGTGCCGGCGGGATGCGGAGCGCAGCTCTCCGCTGTTATCAGGCCTTGGCTCCGCCGGTGGAGAGCTGAGGCCAGGGCACTGACATCCCCATCTACCATCAATTTACCTTCTGCTTCCCCGTTTAGCTTTTAACGTCAAAACCTACATTTTTGTCGGCTCCGGTCTGTCTAGGGCTCCTGTGATTTAGCTGCGCGAATGGCTGCTCCTGAGAAAATAGCAACATCCTCGTTAGTGAGCAATTAAAAGAGATCCTTCTTGGCGGATTCAGAGGGGCTCTCGGTTCTGATAAACTTACTTTACAAAACCGGAAAATTATTAATGTGGAAATATTGGGCAGGCGTTTTCTCTCCAATTCGGAGATTGGATATCGGAGCCGCCCGCCGGCCCTACCGCGCATCCCCCGGAGGAGTTGCAGCCCGCTGACTTGGTCGAGGGAGGACACAGTATCTGCAGAGAGGCTGCCCACGATGTGCTCCACCACAGCATTCGCAGCCACCCATCACCCCTTTTATTTTTTCCTGTGCCGCTACCAAAAAAAAAAAAAAAAACCAAAAAAAAAAAACCAAAAAAACAAAACAAAACAACAACAAACAAACAAACAAAAATTTGTTTGAGCAGGGAACGCGGAGTGCGAGAAGCTCCAGTTCATCAGCTGGGCAACTAATAGGCAAGGAAAAGCAAACAAGGGGGCAGATTCTTCTCTCCAAGTGTTATAAACAGAGGCAAGTGTCTGTAAACACAGACCCACGCCGGATAGCAGAGCCGGGCTGCCTGACCCGACGGGAGGGAGGGCACATCACTTTTGTCTGGTTGTTGTAACCCCGCAACCTCCCCACTGTCAGCAGGGGCTGCGAAACGGCGCAGGGGCTCCCTTATCTTTTTATGGGCAATTGCACATCTACCTACGCTTACTGCTGGGTCTGGTTGGGGACCACTTCCTTAGGCTCGGTGGCACGGGAAGGCCGGCAGGTATGCAGCCCTGGACCTGGAGAGAGATCCAGCCTGAAGAGATTTAGGTAAAAGTTTAAAATACGAGCCCTAATTTTATTATGGAAAAGGTGGAAAACATTGCCCTTAATCAGGAATGGTCAAAAAGTACCTAGACCAACTTCCTTAAGTGAAAACCATTCATTTTTTTCCTTGCGTGCCTACGATACAGAAGGATGCCAAGCATTTCCCAGCACTGAACTCCGCAGCTCGCCCCGGTACTGGGGAGCAGAAAAGTCACCAGAATGGCACCGGGATCCTTGTAAAGGAGTCAAGAGACGGGGCAAAATATTTAAGGGAAGAAAGATCCTGTTGGTGAAGCAATGAACGCACTAAAAAGAGCCAGAGCATGGGCTGCTGCAGTTCGCAGCTGGATAAAAAAGGTTAAAAATAATTATACTCGCTGTGGCGTACTGGAAACGTGCAACCCAGGAGAGTTTTAGGAACCACAAAGTTAATATTAAGTTCATCGTAGCTCATTGTAAATCTTACATATTCCCTACAGCACACCCTCCTCACCTCCCCCACCCCAGCCCCCTGCAAATCCCTCGCCTTGTTCGCTCTTTCTTTCTTGACGTAAAATTACCTGCTACATAATCACTCCGAGCAAAGCTCGCCAGCCTCCCTCGCCTGCCTCCGGGCCTTCTCCGGGAAGCCGCCCCCGCTCCGGGCCCGCGCCTGGCACCGCCCGGGCTCCGGCGGCACGGAAACCGCGCATCTCTGCTGCCCCTGACCCGCCCGGGGTTTGCACCCTTGTCCACTTCCCGTTCGCAGTAGGTCTCCTGCATGGAGAACACCACCACAAGGAATTCCTATTCAGATGAACTGCCGGTTTCTGTTCAACACTCACGGGGCTGAGAGTCCCTCCCTCTACCCCTCCTTTCATTCAGTCACTTGTTTAAAAATAAAATTAGGAGCCATCTTTATAATTTAGTTTACTTCCGAATATTTTAAATATTATGAAAAAAAAGCCATAAACAACGCTGTTATTCAAAACACTTTGAGGTATAAAACATAAAAAGATTTGGATTTTCTTTTTTTTTTTTTTTCTTTTTTTTTTTCTTTTGTTTTGTAAAAAACACACACAGTGGTTTATTGAGTACTTACAACGTTTACACCTTCAATATTAATTAGATTCCACTTTTTCCCTTACGGACGGAAGTGCACATAACCAATAACTGTTGAAAACATCTTCAAATACTGAACGACCACAACAAAATTACAACACTAAATACCGAATCAATCGAAACATTGGTGCAACTGCTTCTGTTGAAATATAGCTTTATAATCCCATGAATATTTATATCCAAAAGGCCAAGTATTAAAGATACACTTCACATACACACTAATGCCAGGGAGGGATTTTTTTCCTTTTCTATAGTTCTGTTTTCCCCACGTGTTTTATACAGAGCAAATAACATTCACGAAACATTTAGAGACATTACCCCTTACCAAGATGGAGTTTCCTCTTCATATATGGAATGCTTTTTCCCTCTCCTTCAAATATCCACATTTTGGGGGGGTTGGGGGAGAAATTGCACATAAATAAACTGGATTATTCCAAATACAAAGAGTCCTCAGAAGAGAGCTCACTACCGAGACTGAGAGGACGGCTCCTCCAGTCCTGCCGTGCTCACTGCTTGAGCTCCAAAGCCCAGACATGCTGCGGCCAGCCAGTCCTCCCTTTGGTTTTCTTATCGTTGCTGCTAACTGTGCTTTTCAAGATTTCGTTCTGGGGAGACAGGATGCGAGGGGAGAGAGAGAAACAGAAAGAGGAGAGGAGAGAAAAAAAGGTTAGATATATTCCTCCCCTTTCTAGGTCGCATCTGCTCTGCTTCGAGATCAAAAACTACGAGGGGACCCGAGCTCATCGAGGCCTTCAAGAGACATAACGGGGACCTTCCCCGGATCTCGCCGCGGGAGAAGCTGCCGCCGGTGGGAGCGGCGGAGGCCAATTCCCGCTCCGTGCCACCCCTCTGCAGCCGGAGCGCGGGGCTGGAGGCTGAGAAGCGCCAGCCATCCACGGGCATTGTGAGAAGGCCCCCCAACTACTATCCCCTCCCTGAGTGCCGGGAGAAGCTGGCACCGGCGCGTACCGGGGCAAAACACCGGACTTGCGGCCAGTAACATATGCGGGAGTCAATCACACGCGAGCACGCCACGGGGCCTACACGATACTGGGATTGCGCTGCCTGGCCTAAACCGACTGTCCCGTTAAAAATCAAAAAAGTTGAAGCGCGGAGTGCAGAGGCAGGAACGCCTCTCGCTGCGAACCTCGTATTTGCCGAAGGTTTAAACCTGGGCTAGGCTTAGCAGGTAATCATGCCTCCACATTTTCATTTAAGAGAGCAGAGGCTTGCCTCCTGCGAGATCACGCTCTGGGATACGGGACAAGCAGCGGCCCGGGAATAACCTCCCCGGGGTGCCCTACAGCGGCAGCCTTTTCCCCGCGGCTGCTCTCAGCCTCCGGGTCGGACCCGGAGGCCGACGGCCGCTCGCGGCTGTGCACGATCCCGCTTTTGGCCCGCAGCTACGGCCAGGGAGCGGTGGGACAGAGGTGTCTCCCGCGGACATTCCCCGGCGACTCTGCCCAGCGAGGAGCCGGGTGCGCTCGGATGGGGCTCCGGCGGG